AATTACGCTACAGCACTTATATTTTTGCACTGATTGGCTATTAACTGTGAGCAGACAGAGTGTCCATGCATTGGAGAATACAGTGAACATAAATGAAAAGAAACGAAGTTGCTTGTCAGGTTTTCCTAACAAGCAACCATATTTTTAAAAATAAGCCCAAAAAACCGCGACCCGGGATTTTTTCACGCAACTTTACAAAAAAAGAATCCCAAAGTCGCGTATAATACGCGGATTTGGCAACTCTGGTGACGGTCTCACGATTACTTAAAGGAAGAGTGCTCACAAAAATATGAGAAAACAACAACTACTACTAAGCAACTAAAAATAACTGGTAACTATATATTAGCTTTGTGTAACAAAAAATGTAAATATAAAATTATTAATATTCTGCAAGTTGTGATAACTTCAAAGACCACAATCCTGAAGCTGCTGTTTCCTGTTGTATTTCAGAATTAGGTCAAATATTCGCTCCAAAGGCATTTTCTGTACAAACTTTATTTTTACTCAGTCTTATCTCTTCACGTTTCAGGTTTAGTTCAATGTTTCTGTCAGATCTAAGGCATCCGGAATATCAAAGACCAAGGTCAGTATTCTCAAAAGGCTTTTCATATAATCTCATGTACAGATGCATTGTTAGACTTGTTTGAGTTTAACATACTTGGTCTTTTTCTGTTCTAGGCGACATTACTCTCCAGGAGAAATGCACTGCAATGAGGTGGTGAACAGGTAAATATTACAACCGCTCCAACACAGATATTCAGAAAGACCAGTGGAGTGAAAGACAAACAGGTAGGCAAATATTTGGATAGATGTTAACAAAAGTTGTGCTAATCTCTTTCATCCAAAGGCCTCCTCTGCAGATTCCTGACAGAATCACGTATCCTCTACTGAATGCTGAAAGTGAGGAGAGGTTTCCGCTGTACAAATCTCGCGCCCACCGAATGGACATGACATCAGAGGAAGAGCTGGGACCCGCTGCGAGACGAGAGCCTTACCAGAGGAGGGACAGAGCTTTAGGAGATACGATGAACCCTGAAGGAACCACACAAGCTAATTTTAAGGTATATGCTGCTATACATTAACATATAACAAACGTTCAGCTCTAAAATTTGATTGTATCAACCACATTCTGAGCTCTCATAAAATTGCATATATGCATGTCAAATAAATAATATGTTATGATATTATTATGCAATTGAATCCAAATAAATTCTATATTGATGAATTCATTTGATACTAAAGCAATAAAGCCTCAGTTCATGTGCTAAGCACATGTGTTAAAATGATCGCACCAGAGTTACAAAAAAATATTGTTTATATTTTTAACACAAATAAGTGTTTACATTTTGGCACATTCATAATTCAACCTACTGATGTTTCAAATACATTTAATAAAATGTTACAGGCCTCAAACTTTTGAAAAGTGTGTATATATATATATATATATATATATATATGAAGAGT